AGGACACTAATGCCTGCCAAAGGATACCTAATCCACATAAAATTATCCAACAGAAGTCCAGACATTTGCTAATCACGACACTTGAAAATACCTTCCCAATAATGCACAGGAATAGGAATCATTCACTCTTCAGTAAATTTTACTGATTTCAGCAGTTGTAAAATAAAGTCAAAGAATGACATGAAGCAGGGTCACTGACCCTGGAGGTGTTCAAGGAACGTTTGGACGTTGTGTTGAGGGAGATGGTTTAGTGAGAACTATTGGTGATCAGTGCTTGGTTGGACAGGGTGATCCTGTGGGTCTTTTCCAACCTTGGCGATTCTGTGATTCTATGATTTTCAGCAATTCTAGTGCCCCTGAGGATTCACTTTCTGCTGTCTTAGGTGATTCATCTTCCACAATCAGTTATAAAGCCGCTTCTATAACAATCCACTGAAAAGTAGTGCATCACTTACAGGTTGAACAAAGCTTTTAGGATACTTGGCATGCAGTTGGAAAGTGTTGGTTCTTATTAAAATGCAATGCCAACAGCCTAAAAAATATCCTCGTGGTGACAAGAATGAGCTGTTTCTTCTATCACATGGCCCTTTGATGCTTCCACACATTCCATGTATCAACCAGGCTGCCTCCCAGATCTAATGTCAGCTGCTGCTCTAAGATGACAAGCCAGCATCACTAGGGATGCTACATACACATTCCTCTCTCTCAAACTATGCCATCTGATAATAAAACCACAGAGCATGAAATATGAATAGGAGCTCTGCAAGTGCCAACATGCGGCGCATCACTGAAGGATCACACACCTGTATGCACAGCTATTTGTATTACACACTCCAACACTGGAGCTCAGATTTCACCCACCAGTGCACTGCGGCACCAGCATGCTGGGCTACACCCTTAGAAGCTACCATACAGACCCTCTATTGATGCCTCCCTGATCCTGCTGTAGTCAGACTCCTCTGCACATGCTTCAAAACCCAGAGAGCCTCAAGCATTTGTCTAAAAATTATAAAATGCCATTAAAACAAAAGAACAAGATAGCATCCTCTATGTATATTTCTAGTTTCCACTAGTTTGGGCCTTAACCAGTTACAGCAGAAACCATGCACAAATCCCTGTCCATATCAGCTACAGGAAACAAACAGTTCAGCTGTATGCATGTGTTAACTTTAAATGTCCCTTATGTAACAGACTCACACGTGGGCAACACAATAAACTGCGTAGCCAAAGAACTTGGCAGCTACATAGCATCTCATTAGAGAGTTTGATAATTTATGTGTTTACAGATGCTCAAAAGGCAGATCACCAATGAACAATAATACTACGTTTTACCTTCTGAAAAGGCTTGTGAAGAATTGCTCTCTCTCTTGTCTGCATCACAGTCTCCACTCTCCTCTTCCATGAAATTGGTTTCCAAGCTAAACTCAGCTTCATGTTTCACATCAGTGAACTCCTCAATTGCTCCATGATTCAGGTCACAGGAAGTTTCCACCCCATCAGCTTGCTCCTGGCCAAGCGCCTGTTCTGGTGGGTCTTTAGCTGTGACTTCTTAAAGAAAGAAACATGTTATATTCTCCTGGAAAAGCTACTATCAGTAGCCACTACTGGCTGCCTATGTCAAACACTTTTACATTGCACTTTTTCCTTAAAAAATCTTATGCAAAAAAACAAAGACAGGCCTTTTGTTTTACCTTTTTTGGGTTTTTTTATTATTATTTTTTAAAAGCTATCGTTGTCTGATATGCCAGAAGTTAAATAATACAGAACATAGTTTCCCTGAGAAAATTTAAGGAAAAATATATTCAGAGAATAGAAGTTTTAGCTTCCAAAGAATCTAAACTGAGAAAACAGAGTCGACTCCTCCCTCCCAGAATTTCCTTGGGAACTTCATGAATGAGGATGCTTTCTCATATGGGAGGAGGTTTCCTTAAAATTTAAACACTCTTTACTCTGCTGTGAGGCAAATCTTTCCCTTTGCTCAGCAGCAGCAGCCAAGCCAGATGCTGTGTGAGAGAACAGCTTGCGTCTCCCAGCGAGTGGGTGAGAACCCCTGGTATGCTGCTCCATGTGGATTCCTCCTGTGCTGCCACACAAACAACATCTGAGGAAGAAGCAGCAGGCTGGCTGCTGGGAAATGAGCACAGCTACCCTTTGCCCTGCTAAATACTCCAGCAGTTGCTGCTCACACTCACAAAGCGGCAATGGAGCAACAGCCAGAAGAGCACCCAGCCAACCAGCCTGTCTGCACCAGGATCAGGGCTAAAAACAGACACTATTCAAACTTGCTAACTGAAACAATAATTACCAAAGCACAGCAAAAGAAACTACCTTCTTCTTGCTCTTGTACATCATTCTGCTCTTCTTCACCTCCAACAGCTTCTTTGGGCTCCTGGGACCCTTCGCGGTCCAGTTCTGCTTCGCTCTCCTCAGCTTCTTCTGATTCACTTTCATCTTCCTCCTCCTCACTCTCAGACTCAGAAGATGCCTTCAGGGTGGCCAGAAGCTTGTGATAGACAGAGACTTGTTCCACCTCAGTCTCTGAATCGCTTTCTGCACTTGATTTATCAGAATTGTCAGACTAAATGTGAAAACAATAACAGCAGCAGCAGTCTATTAGACAGCAAGCAAACACCCTCAGCTCCAGCTCCCATATAACATTTTTTTCTTCCCAATCTACCCCTATGCCGATGCAATGAGATTTTCCCCAAATCTCCATTTTATGTCAAGAGTTTTATCAAACATTTCCACGTAGACTCTGAAAGGACCTTGGCAGACTTAGGTCCTGGTGCTTTGTTCTGCACTGCTTTGACTCAGAGCATCACAAAGTTCTTTCAGCCCCGGAGAACAAATTTGTTCTCGTGACAAACAGGCCTTTGATTTTCCTACAAAAACCACATGTAGAAGGGCATACATACTGAAAATGCTTTTAGCTTTTAAAAAGAGAAATGGAATAACCTTCAGCTGACCAAAGTCCACCAAAGAACGGTCAGGTCTAGCTCAGCATCTAAAGCTCTAAGCTTCAAACAAGCTAGACTCCAAAAGTTAGGTCTGTCCCAGCCTTATGCAAACTAAAAACAACATGCCAGGTTACAGCCAACTTCATAGCAAAACCAGGACTATAAGCACAGCAACATTTCTTTCTTTCTTAGCTCCTTTCAGCGCAAAGCAAAAGCTCAGTAAATAAAAAAAAAAAAAAAAAGTGCTAAAGGAAACAACTGAGCAGAGTCATTAATTACTTTCTCCACACTACAACTTTGAAGTCTTTAATTGGTTTGATGATAATAGAGGTTAACAAGAACAAAAACTGGAACACTGTAATTTGAAGACAGGAATGAGCATGAACATTTTTTCATTCAGTAGAACAAAACATCTCATTCCCTAACTCAAGCACCACTGTGTATAAATGCAATAACTTAAAGCATGTCTTTCTTTTTGCCATGGCTAAGTAACATTAAAAAAAAAAAAAAAAGCAAGAATAGCAATATTGTATCCTGTTTCTTCTGCTGTCTCTTGGTATTGCAGTTAGGAGTCTGAAGAACGATTTGGAATCACAAAGAAATCATTCATTTTTTCCTCCTAACAGTAGGTTTTCTAAAAGGAACAACCAAATCTTCCTGAACAAGAAAGGCACAGTGTTCCATTTCACTGAACTATATAACAGGTAAAGTGAGGAAGAAATAAAAATATATTACCAGTTCATATATTTGAGTTGCTTCTGGTCTTCCAGAAACCCTGAAAAAAAACACCAAAATATCTTGCTGTCAATGATATTATGCAGAGAATAAACACAGATGAAGAAGGGAAGAAATTGTTGAGCCTTAGAGCAGTTGAAAGAAAGCTTAAAGCCACAGCATCACACAATTCTCCTTAAGGAAACACAGTCAGGGCTCACCCTGACAGGCTACTCTCAGCTCATGATACAGCCTGTGTGTGGAGCCCGGGTGTATATGATCATGAAGAGAAACATTTTAAAGCATTTCTGGCTTTAATCAGAATACCAAGTGTCAAAAAGAACCTGAGCACAAAGCATAAATACTGGGAAAAGTCTTCTGAAAGTGCTGAGCTTCCTGCAGGACACCAGAACCTAGCAGGACTTGGAAAAAAATTCCTTCCTCTCCTCAGAGGGGACCAGACCAGGCCTGAGCTACGTGAACGAGGCCTGCAGGGAAACTGTAAGGCTTACACAGGCTGAGCTGGAACTGTCAAAGCAGCAGCCTGGCTCAGCACAACGCTCCTTTACATCTGTAAGCTGGACTCAGGGCACCCAGCCGTAACAGTTTGCTGAAGAGAAAGACGGAGCAGCGCGGCAGCTGAGGGCAGGGTCGGGCAGGAGCGGCTGCTCCCTCTGGCAGAGGCCTCACCCCGAGCGCAGGCATCGATCCCGCCCACAGCTCCCAGGAAGCAGCTCGTACAGCAGGCAGCCAGACGGGAGCCCACCTGTGGCACTGAGCGCTGCCCGGCGGAGCGGGAGAAGCGGACACGTGCTACGGGAAAAGCGCATCAATTCACCAGCGCTGGGGATTCTGCCAATGGGACGCCTTAACCCAACCCTTCTCAACAGGCGCACGGCCTGGGCTCAGAGCCGCGCGGAGGCGGCCCGCAGCGCTCACCGGTCGCACACGGGGTGCTGCTCCCCGAACTGCTGCAGGTGTTTCCTCTGCCTCTTGCTCAGGCCGCGCGCCAGCTCCCTCCCGCCGCGCCGCTTCCCCATGCCGGCAGCGCCGCGCTTTACGGCACGGCCGTCAGGGGCGGCTGTCGCAATGCCGCGCGGCGGCGCGCTGCGGGCGGCTGCCGCGCTCTGCTAAGGGCCGGCTGCGGCTACAGCGCCCACACAGCAGGAGATGCGTTCCGGGACGCTGCCGGCTTTCTATAACGATGAGGGACGCTACTGTGTGCTGTTTTCACTGTATATATTTTTATTGAAATAAATGTATCGTTCTGTCTCTTATCTAAGTGTTTTGCTGTAAGTTACTTAGGCAGCGCAAGTTAAACCACAGATGGTAGAATTTTAATTCCCCTTTATTTCATACGCTTCATTTTGTTGTATATAATGAAGATGCAGACTAAGATACAAATCCCAAGTAACTCAGAAGACAAGGCAGCTCACTTCTTCCTTCAGCACAGCCCATGCTTGCCTATAGTTCTGTTTTCCATCCCATGCATCACTCCCATAATACCTGGCACTCTGTGATGCATTCCTGTCCTTTTCCTTACACAAATAAAGGCAGTATCTTGGTGTTATCTTGACGTGCTATTTCACATAAACTCAGAGATTAAAAGGGATATACCTGTGAAGATCCAAAAACAGGGCCATGACAGAACCTCCAGCTTTGACAGCTGCTTCACATTTTATGAAATAAAATATACAGCACAAAAATGACCCAAAGTTTCTATTTCTCACAGGCACCATAATGAAGCTGAAAGTTCTTTGCACACAAATGGTCACTGAATCAGTGTGCCATTGCAGCAGGTCAGTTCAGTTGAGGGACTTACAGGATGATATATGGTATTTTCAATTCAAAACACAACAGGTTTTGAATTATACACATGGAACACTCTAAAAACAACAGAACAAATTTTACATTTCAAATAACTAAACACTGGTGTTGGTAATATTTGGTTTAAAGGGGTTGTTTTTCTTCATTGTACTTGCAGTGCCCTGCTAGTTAAAAATTAATTGGATGAGGTATGTAAGCACTGGGCAGGTTCTACAAACCTGAAAAAACAAAACATCCATTTATAAAATTGTTTACATAATATATTGGTCCGTATATTTTGACACCCATAGTAGGCTGGTAGCTGTTAGTGAAAAAGCATTTGCTTCAGGAAATCCACCTCTAACTTACAGTTACCAATGATTCTGATGACTGAACGGACTTGAAGACTTGACAACCTACAGTGCCAGCATTTACCTAGTCCTATTCAGACTGAACCAGCCTTACTGACAGCATGCTGAAGTTCTCTGTCATATTAGGAACTTCTTTCATGATACTTCTCTTTGTACTTACTACAACTGTTTGGGGCTCCAGAACAGCTTTATACTGGCGTCTGTTTTCTGATTTATGGAAATTTATTTGCTCATACTGGCAGAAAATGCTAGAAATCTGCCTAAACAAACTTCAAGATGGTCATAAAGTAGTATTCTGACAATAAGGAACTCTTACAAACACTGCTGCTTTCTTTCTGTTAAAGCAATGGTTTGAGTTGTCTGCCTTAGCTTTCAAAGTATGGGTGAACTTCATCAAATATTTGTCCAATGTGTAACTGCCTGCATTCTTGAGCATTTTCAGTTCTCTTATTCTAAAGTGCTCAGTAAGAGTATACTAGCAGGCTGGAATGTAATAGATATGTGCAAAGGGTCAGAACTGATTTCAGACTACAAGTACCTATCTTCAAATGCCACGGAGCATAGGGAAACCTGAATTCTGAACTGGGCAGAGGGAAAGCAAAAATTTGAAGGTTTATTGTTTTACTGTTGCCTAAGTTCATAAACAGTAAGACTATATAGAAAAAGAAAAAAAAAAAAAAAATTAGGTTATACATGTTAAAATCTGGCCCTCTGAATGACTGTCCTGGGTTAATGTTTGTTTGTTAGATAGGGCTAATGAAGTATCAGCCAGGATTAATAATCTGTGTCCAGGCTACAGGGTGAAAATGTGGGCTACTGCATATTGAAAGTTGAGCTTTGTTACTGAATGTTATCAAAACTTTTCATCTTACATTTCCTTTACAAAAAGGATACTGATTTTGAACTGATGCTAAGGATTCAGTTTAGTTCCACGTCAGAAAACCACTGAAAGGAGGAAGTATTAGTTGATACACACAGCAATACTGACAGTGCCTTGACTGTTTCAGACTCAGACTGGAGTTCTCAAAAGGTAGGAATACTCTGTTGCGATGCACAGAAAATCCCATGAAGGGTATGTTGCCTTAACTTCAGGGTGTGAAATCAGTGATCCTGGTGATTTTGCTCCATGAATGCAAAAGCAGGCATTTCAGACCGATTACAAATCTGCCTGCGTGCCATTTAAGCTTTGGATGTCTAACTTAAAAAAAAAACAATACTGCATGCTCAAATACTGTTGTTTTTAAGTAATGTGAAGCATTGCATTTTCTTCCTCTAAAACATGTACTGAAAGAACAGGAAAATAAGTAAAGAATCAAAAGGGTTACTGACAGTATGGTTAATCCAAAGTTCTTAAGTGAGGATCAGGAACTTGCTGTGAAAGTCAGAAGCCACATCAGTGGATCAAAAAAGATGACCAGAACATACCGCAGTTATTGTGTTATGCAAAGGCATAACCAGAAATAAAGGTGTTGCTATGCCTGAGGAAATCCCTAAACATGGAGGGAAGATTACAACAGGTAACAAAGGATTACAGTCTGAAAAAGAAGAAAGCTTTGTGCAGGGAAAAATAAGGATGAGAAGTACGGCCTACAAAGCAGTCCTGTTAAATACTGGCCTGTAACAATCAGACTCTGCACAGGTAACTCTGCTTCCTCGGGGTGGAGGTAATCTGTGACAACTGGTAAGTACAGTTCTGTCAACAGTGCTGAGGTCCAGAGATCGTTTTAAAGGTAGACAGGCTTCCCCCAGTATACGGTGAGGCTGCAGGCAAATAATTCTCCACTGATAACACCTTTCCAAAGATAAAGTATGCCTTCCTGCCTGGGGGCCGCTTATGTGGGTTAATATTTTCCACAGCTGCTACCTAAGTCTGATCCTATTAAGGTCTGATGACTAAAACCGTCAGTCAACTGAAAAGCCACACTGACTGGCCATTTAGTCAGAAACTGAAGGCCCAGAATAGACACCAAAGACAATAAAAGACAACCCCTTAACCTTACTGAGCGTCGAACTAAGAGGTAGAAGACTGAGTATTGAGCACAAGCGCATTTTGATACTATATACAGCTGGGATTTGGCAGGTGGCTTATGAGAAACTAAGACATGGCAAATTTGAAGAAAACATCATGCAGAATTGAAAGAAGCTGTTCCTCTCTGAAGCATCACTTTTATCTAACCGGGCCAGCACATAGTTTCTTCCTTACTATTATATAATATGTGATACGATTTTAAGAAATGCTATATTATACTAAAAAGAGGAAAAGCTTGAAATTGTGGAAAGCAAATCTTCCAAGGAATAACCAGGCAGTATATCTTCTCCTAAGGGATTGCATTAACCACATTTTTTTTGCTTCCTGGACGTACTGCAGAAGATGCTCAGGCAGCTTCCCTTCTGTCACAAACGGTACCAGTTTTACTGACTGTCTTGAAACATCTCTCCTAAAACAATTTTGGGCCTCTCTGCAACTAGAAAACATAGCTGATTTTCAAGTACAAGCTTGTTTTCTCATCTTTCAGCTATTTCCCATTAAGATTCTGCACTTCTGTCTGATAACAACACTAAGCTTCTTTTCTTTTGTGAATGTGACTTTGAGTACTGTCAGCAAGTATGGTCCAGGCTCTTGGGCTGTCTGGTCAAGGGCATTCCTTATGTAAATTATTTTAACAGCAGTTTAATTACAGCCAAAGTAGATTTCTACAGCTCTGTCCTACCTGCTAACCTAGTAAAAGCAAAGTGCTTAAAGCAGTCTGAAGTCACTGACTGTTTTGCACCTGGTAGTATCTCTTTTGATTGACAGTGAAGTAACCTTCAAGTTAGTTGAGCACCCTTTTACTATCTGTACTCTTTTTTTCTCCCTCTAAGCATCACCTGTGTCCAGCTAGACTATGTTTACTGAATAACCAACCCACCACTTTAGAAAAAGGCTACACCTTTCCCTACAGTGAAATAAGGCATTTAATGCACCATATGTCTCATGTTACAATGACACTTTCTAGCATCCATTTACTTTGCAACAAGGTCCTACAGCTACTACATAAAATTAGAGACTTACACCTGCAGAAAGCTCCTATTTGTACTGGAATCAATGTGTTCTCCTTTTAGCAAACAATTAATAATACTGGAAATGAGGCTATTGGAACTATAAGAGCATAGAAAAATCTCACTATATCTCATTGCTCCTTAAGACTGCATTTTCTGACATACTACACGTTAATACATAAGCTGTACACGCAACTGGCATTTACTTATTTCAAAGCACCACTAACAAAACAATGTCTAATAGTCTGGCATCCTTTACCTTAAACTTTACCCTAATGCAAGCAGTATCTCCTAAGTACTTCAGAATTCAGAAGCCACTCGATGTCAAATGGGGATCTAGGTTATTTATAAATACGTTTTAGCCTTCAAAAAACACTACAGATGATCACAGTTTTTGATCACAGCGTGCAGTCAAGTCTCTTCACATTACAGATGTTCAGTTAGTCTAAAAGTTCTGGAGCTATGATCAAGAATAACTCAGTAAAATAAGAATATTTACAGAATATTTAAGAATATTTATAAAACAGGACTTTTATTTATCAATAGATTGTCTTAGTAAATTAGGTTGATAGGAGCAAGTAGTTCCAGTACTAACAACCAAGTACCTGGTGAATTCATGATTTGACTTCTGTTTCTTCTACTTGAGGTAGAGAGTCCCAAACTGGCTCCTGGATGTGTTCAGGTATTTTCTCTATCTTTGTCTAGTACAGAAGGAAGGACACAATTTATTATACCAACTAGTTAACATCTAACTACCATGCCTTGTTTATTTTGGTTTCAGATATTTATGGGATTAGAAGTGCCACCTAGTGACGTTTTTGAGTAATACAGCCTCCTTTCAATATTTAGAAAAAACAGCCTTCACAAACTACATGTGTTTCTTCTAGTGACTTTCTAAAGGATTCAGTAATTATTAGTATTTGCATCTCGACTTAAACTCACAGCAGTTAATAACATGAGATGGAAACTTACCTTTTTTACTTCCATGGCAACCCCTTCAGGCAGGTTTCGTTCAACATACTCTAAGTACACTGCAGCAGTACTGCCCGTTAGGTGTTTTAACTAAAACAGAAGCAATGTGCTTTTTTAGTGAAGGACTATTACTAATATTTCAAACGGAATATGAAAAAAAGGAGTTTGCTCTGACTTCTCTAGTTTTTGCAGTGGGTCCAAGCATCTTACACTAAGCCAGCTCCCATAAAATTCAACACAGGCAGGTAAGCAGTACATATCTTATGCAAGTATAAAGTAGCAATTCCATGCAGAACTGTATATATACTGTGTGCTCATACGTTGATCATGATAGAAATGGACCTTAATAGTGCAAGAATCAGATCAAACTGCAGGTTAGGCAAGAACTCACAGCTTTTTTATACTCTCAAAATTCAAGCTGGATTGAAATCCCCCAACTCCAGAACTCTACCATGTTCTTGATTCTAGTTTCTCTTGGAAAGCAGTTGTGTTTATGGTCTGTGGGCAGCCATCAGCAATGCTCTACTGTCTGAGGACTGAGGGCAGAGACACATTTTACTAAGCACAACTACACCATAATAGACCTACAGGCCACAAAAAGTTGGCAGTAAACTTTTATTCTGAGCAGGTCAACCACAGCTGCATACTAAACCATATATAAGTCTGCGTCACCAGCCACAGAACGAGCGGTTTGTACACACTTCCTTTCTGGTATTTCTCCCCTTACAATTTTAGTTTGTCACATGATGTGACAAAAGTGTTCAAAATATCAACCACACTCATGGAGAACAGAACTCTCAGTCACCACCATGACCATGACTTACCTGCAGCATCTTCCCTTCCCTGAGAAAGTTCTTATCCTACAGATTATTGGAAATTAAGAGCATGAAATATATAAAGGTAACTCTGATAACTACCTTATTTTTAAATCATTCTTTCATATACTGGTCAAAATCAACGTTGCAGACAAAAATAAGATGGGCTGCACATTCAGAATAAGTTGTGCTACATTTGATGTACCTACATCATTGCCCTCCTACTTTATTCCCAGCATTCATCTCCCCAAGCTAACTGAATTAATATTTCTTCCTTTTACATCTTTCTTACCTCCAAACAGGTGTAATGTGTTCTCATTTCATACTGAACTCTGTGCTTCTTGTAAATGTGCACAGATTTTAAAAGCGTAAGTCGTTCTATCTTCTTTGGAGGTCTATGTCTGAACAAAGAACAAAGAGAAGATGCTGTAATGTTGAATTTTATATAAATGATGTTACTAGAAATTATCTGAGATTATGGTGAAATTTCTGCTCTTATCTGACATTTAGAAAATCCACGAGGCAGTATGAAGTACTGGTACACGTTAGTATTAATGCTACAGCACTGATGACTGTAACAAGAGTATTTCTGGTATCTTTCAAGCAGTTACAATACAATCCTACTACAGCAGCATTGCAAGTAGCACTGCTTCTGCTTTCTATCACCACGCTACCATCTAAGAAGTATCCTGAGAAGGAATGTCAGATTAAACTCATTTCTTCTAAAAATGGAAATACCTGCAAGCACGGAATTTGAGTTACAGTAGATCAGGTAAAAAGCATCTGACATCACATCATGCTACAGATCGGTTACTTACACTTTTTCAACAGTGATGCCAAGTTCTTTAGCTGCAAGCACAGCAAAGTACTCATAGCTGTCCAACACAGCTTTATCGTGGCCTTTAACCAAAAGGGACAGTCTCCGGTACAGTATTTCTGGTTCATCTGAAATAGACACCTGTGTTTTTTAAGAAAAGGTAAGTGTTACCGCTCCATGCTCTCCTTCATTAACCCAACCACTGCATATCTTCTTAGCCTGTGTGTCCCATTTGTAAAAGAAGAACCACCCCCCCTACACACACACAGTTATCTGCTCGTTTGATGTTTACCTGCAAGAGGATAACTGTATTAATCTCGATCAACAGAGATCCTTCATCTTACTGTCCCTGGTAAGTGTGAAGAGAAACCTAACTTCTGAATATTCAGGCAAAATTTCTCAATCAAGAATGCAAAGGGAATGTCAGCTAAAAGGACATTTGCAAAGGCAAAAAAAATAACTTCTTGTTAAAGTAAGTTTGGAGCAGCAATATGAGCATTCTAAATAGAAGTGTGAAAATACATGAAATTCTCAAACTTCTATTGGTTATCATTATGGTCAGGTACAAGAATTCTCACCTTCCTAAAATAAAGCTACTTAGATATACCAGTCTTCCTCAGGCATATTATCCTTTCTATTTGCCTAGATTAGAAGTCTGTGACTTTCAAGTTACAATTTTATGACTCTTAGTTTGAGCATTCATTTCTAATGGCCTTGGCTCACTGTTCATCTGAAAAGCCCTGGTTTATTCTCCTGCAATTCAGAGCAGTAACTCCAGCACGCAGCACACGTGGCAGGAAGGCTGGTTTTGAGTTGTGGTTGAACCTGGCAGGCAGCACCACAATTTGTTCACACACTGCCCCCTCCCAATGGGGAGAGAACTGGGGGAAAAAAAAACAACGTAGAACTTGTGGGTTGAGATAAGAACTATTTACTGCAACAGAAAAGAAAGAGGACAAAAACAGCAGTAATGTAATATAAAAATAAAAAAAGAAACATGTAAATATGATATACGTGTGTGTGTGTATTCCTCTCACTTTATACACACACACACACAAAGCAAGGGATGCACAACACATCTGCTCCCTACACACTGATCGATGCCCAGCCAGTCTCTGAGCAGCAGCAGCCCCTCAGTCACCTCCTCTCACTTTCTAGCTTTTACAAGAAGGCTCCCTATGGTATGGAATATCCCTTTGGCCAGTTCAGGTCAGCTGCCCTGGTCCTGCCCCCTCCCTTACCCCTCAGTCCCCTCGCTAGCAGAGCAGTAAGAGAAGCTGAGAAACTAAACCATCCTTGGCTCTGTACAGTGCTGCTCAGCAGTAACTAAAACACTGGTGCGTTATCAACATGGTTTTTCTCCTAAAGCCAAAACACAGACACTACAAAGGAGAAAAGCAACAAAGCGGCGACTGTGAGCTACAGGAATCATGCTGAAAATACTATCTCAAACAGCAGTAATCTAAACTGTTTCTTACTCTAAGGCCAATTTGACATCATTGAGACTTAAAAAAAAAAAAAAAAAAAACAAACACAACAAACCACCTGAAATAGAGGGATTTACTTCTTCTCTCTATTCTCTTCATAATTACAATGGCATACAATACCCTGCTCTATTAAACACTTACCAGAGGATTAGTCTTAGGTTCCTCTGTATGAACATGAGATCCAGAGAATCGTCCTCCCACCAAGTCAAAGTTTCTAGATTTATGGGGGAGAACATGAAATTAATGTTGAAGTTGCACTTTCTGAGGAAGCATGGGGGAAAAGTGGAAGGGAAGAGGGTCTGTTAAACTTACGGAAGAAAACATTGCTTTTGCATAACTCTGCTTGCATAGTTGACAGGAAAAGATGATCCCTGTATAAAACAAGTGGTCAAATTGCTTTTTTTTTCTTCACTGGAAAGTAGGCAGCAAATAATACAGACTTATCAAAGGTTACTTGTATGAGCAACAGAGCATAATGCATTGCTTGACATTGATTTGCCAAACTGTAAAGCTTGCTCCTTCGGAAAACACAGGAAAACAGGAGCATAGAATTATCTACAATTGTGTCATGACAGCAAGCCCCCTCCATACATACACAAATCTCACAGAGCAAACAGACAATCATCAAACAGAAACAACAAGAGAAATCCCACACATTAGGGAAATAATACAACAGTTTGCAGCTATGATTAACCAGCCACCCAAACAGCAATCACAAAGTAACTCTTTATTAGAAAATACATTTTGTGTGGTATCAGATACCATTTTTATATATAGCAATGTTTTTTCCACAGTTGTACTTTGACAGTACAGTGAAACCTCCTTAGATAAACATAAGTAGGACTTGCTGCTGTAAAAGCAGTTGAGAAGTGTCCTATAAAGGATACTACAGAAAAATTCAGCTTCTGAACTTAACTTCAGATTTCATTTTTTTTTTTTCCAGCAAAACATTCCCTGTGGTTTTGACTATTTGTCCCATTGAAGAGAACACAGAAACAGTTCCAAAAAGCACATTAATTACTGAACTTTTTTTTTTTTTTTTGCATTAAGTAGTGAACCCAAATGTCAATTAAGACATACCATACATCCTTCATACCAAAAAAACCTCTCCCTTCTGACATGGCTTTTAGCTTCCTACCACTAACTCACCATTTGGCAAAGGACTCCCTGAGACCTAAGAAAGTTAAATAAATACATCTAAGGAAATTACCCTGATCCTTACACCTTCATTCTGTGTCTGAAATCAGAATACCATCTTCCCCCCATTAAAGGCAGCAGGAAGTACAGTATCATCACCTGACATCACATCAGGGAAAAGATATGCCCATAAGTGTAGAAGTTTATATTCAGCAAAGGGCTTACACTGTGTGTATGAGTACATGGCACAGAACCTATGCAGATGACAAAGAGATTACAGATTGGGCAATCATTGGGTATGTAATATGCTGCTGTAAGAAGACCAAAAAAGTACTCAGGAATTCAACCAGTGCTTTGTTTTTGTGCATACGCAATCTCTGTTATATAGTCTGTTGCTTTATCTACCTGGCCTTGGAGAATAGATTACTTATTTGCAGGCAAAGATGCACACCCTTAGAGTATGCATACCATGTACCATGTCCCGTGCTTTAGAATACATAAGGTACAGCCCTTGTAAAACAGACAAATAGAACACTTACCTAACTCTAGTCTTTACAGTACTGCATGATTGTGCATATTATCCCAACCACCTGCAGCTCCATTTTGTCACTAGAAGTGCAAGTATACGCTGAATCTAAAGTTCTTGTAAAATAAAATTAAAGGTGCTCTATGCAAATTTGAATAAAGCAATGCTTGCAGTATCCCATGTAACAAAGATGGCATTCAGCACTGAAGTGCTTTAGCAGCTTCTTTTACCCTTTGACTTAAATACTTGATGCCCTTTCACTAATGGCTGCCATAGGAGTAGAAGGGACAATCAAAGCGATACAGAATTCAATTCCCAATTTGAAACACTCCCAGTGCCAATCAGCCTCAGTCGGCTGGAGGAGGTCCTGGAGCACACAGGAGATGGATGCCTCCAAGGGGAGCGAGTCCACAGGGCAGCACATGCGCACAGGGGCTGTGTGGGGCTTCAGAAACCCAATGGGAAATGCATCACATCAAAATCCTCCCAACGTGTGAGAAGGCAATTGCTTTTCAAAGTCTGCAATAGCAGAACCATCACTGCTTTATATTTGAAAAGATTTCCCAGTTTTCACATTGTAGGTTCAAGACCAGAAACAAGCGCAGTTCAAGACCTCCAGATCCCACTTACCGCTCCTCGTTACCCCTTAGAACCAGAGCAATAGTTATGACAGACTACAAAACAAGGCATTCCGGAGTCCCGACACGTATGGCGACGGACAGAAGCGCGGCCACACGCCACAGAAACCTAACCCGCAGCTGAAGGGACACCAACGAGCAGGACCGGCCCCCAGGAAACGCTCCCCACCTGGCAAAGCCTCCTCCACAAGCACCGCGCCGCCATCTTGCCTCCAGCCAGAGGAGCGCGACCCGGAAATAGAAAGCGGCCTCATCCGCCACCTTCCGCTCCCCGCTGTCCTGATTACGGAAGAGCGCCTCCCGCCGGCATGGCGGAGCCGCGGTCCCCTCAGGCGTAGCACTGCGGCACCGGCGGGCAGGGCCTCGCGCGGGGGAGGCGGAGGCAGGGCGCCGCAGCCCGTATGGCGCCCGCAGGCGGGCTGCCCTCAGAGCCAGGCTGGCCGCAAGGGCGCTGCCGCCTGTCACACGCGTTCCCTGCTGACAGCAGGACCTGAAACCAGCACAGATCACGGGCTGTATGAAACGCATCGATATTTTTATTGTTACTTCCTCTGCCGCCTAGAATTAACAGTCTGCCTTTTTTTTTTTTTTTTTTTTTCTTTTTTTTTACACTAAAGCACCTAAAATATGTACAACCATCTTCTAATAAAATAACAGTTAAATATTGAAAATAAGATTTTTTTTTTTCTCATAAAATATGTTTTCTGTATGTACAGGTTTCAGCAAAGAGGACCGAGTTGAACAGCGAACAGTTTTCCATCATCAACCATCAGTAATAAAACAGCTTGTGTGCAACACAACTGCCCAACATATGTACAAAGAGAACAACAGCTGTGTAACATCAGCCAGTGCCACACTTGGGCAAGTCCATGTCAGGTGCCTAAATCGTGTACTTTGTACGAAATTGCTTTTGTCTTCGCGAATGGTTTCTTTGGTTGTTGGATGACCGTCTTGGCTGTGCAGTACAGCGGCACCCAATGGCTGTGACAGAAGCAGGCATCTATACACATGTATTCACGTATCCACGCCAGGAGCAGCACAGCTACCTGCCCAGCTGTTGCTACAGAGATTTCACTGTAGATTCTTTAGCACAGAGCTGCTCTTCAGAATGGAGCCCGCAATTTCCTACTGTACTTCACCCTGTTCTTCAAGAACTCTCACTGACTTCCGTGACCATTTTTCTTTCACACAGCTTTCTTCCCACCACCAAGACGGGAACCTGAAAACATTTCCATTTTGCCAGGGTAGCAGCCTTTCTCAGAGAGGTCCTCGAAATTCAAAATGATACAGGCTTGGAAGAGGAAGCAGACTCTACTGTATTGTTTGTGCCACAGGCCCCTAGAAGCCAACCCAGGTCACAGCTCACCAGAGCTCCCACTTTGCAAACGCTAAGAGTTGTGCAGACTACAAGATTTACCATTGGGATTTAGCTGGGAGCTTACAGCTGAGCACTCAGCCAGCTGAACCTGGGTTGCACGGGCCCTGTGAAAGTGATGTCACAGCACTGACAGAATTGTTAGGAAGTGTGCTGACAGATAGGTCAGGAAAGGAAAGAAGGCTGGTGCCTCATCTCTTGAAACACACAGGCACAGCAATTGAGAACATCATCCATTCTGTAGCAATGGGAGCAAAATCCCACCCTCTGGTCAAAACTAACTAAAATGTCTCTGAACCCCCAAGACAAATAGAACAAACCACACAGATGGGAACTTCACTAAACTAAAACTGAGAAGTGACTGCTGTTCTCCTAAAGGGCTGTTCTTTACTATCAGAACGTTTGACACCAAGTGAAAACTTCAGGCCATTTGAATTTGTGTATTTGGCTTTGACAGAGAAGTCACCTCTCTGCTAGTGAGTCCCACTGGTTTTGAAACTGTGGTCCAGTACTCCTATACAAAGGTACTGTGGCTTACCCTCATTTTGCATAGTTACACAAAAAAGACAAGACAGTAGAAAATAAGATCCTCCATCTCTCAGAGTCCACTTAAAGTGTTAGAAATGTGACAAAAAGACTTCAACAAAAAAAACCAAAACCTCACCCATAAAAAAAAAAAAAAAAAACTGGAAACTGGAAGATCTGAAGTCAGTCTTATAAAATATTTTATAAAATTAGCAACACTCCTCCACTGTGAAAGATTCACAAGAAAATCTACTAAGTGCTACTACCTGTGAAAGTTCAAAAATCATTGCTCTTGTTGTACTGTTCAAGGTCCACTCAATCTAACTCAACTTCTTCCCATGGTTCTAGATTTTCTAATGATTCTGTAGGGTACAATTGTTTTTAGATTTTATTGAAGTAGAAAACCAAATCCAGATGTACAGAAGTGAATTTAGACATCAGGCAGGTAGATCTGAGCCTGAAGAAAGAGAAACAGTAATTAAACAGCGTCATCTCACCTTTGGGATATGTTTTATGAAGTAAACAACACTGAATTTGATGTAATGAGGAAGACTGAAAATGGCACAAGAACAACACTTCATGTGTAGAAATAATAACTAACATATGCTGAAGGCATATACTCCATCAATCTCTGTTCCACAGACAAGAATGTCTCCCTGTATTTGCCTAAGAGAGTAAGCTCCTGCAATGCTCAAAAATATGTTCCTAAAATCACTGACATGGCTATTCAACAATGTGATTTATTGTCACATCAAAATATATTTCCTGTGCAATCTGATTGCCAACGCAGTGTTCTTGATTCAGTGTTCCCATGAGTTGATGTGAACCACAGCACAATCATCCTTCTTCAATTCCTGAATTAGGTCATTTTAAAATCAGCAGATCAAAGCCTTGTTAGAAATGAAGCTCTAAAATGTACAATGTAACCAAAGCTTTTATGAACTGCCTAACATATATGCATTAAGGCAAGACAGAACTGAAAAAGTACTGTGATACTAAAGATGATACAGTCACTCCTGTATTTATTTCACAGTTAAAGCAGATTTTTTTCTCTACTTCCCTTAAAATGACAGCACAAAGAAAAAGAACATAATCATCTCCTTAATAAAGATGACATTTAGTTTCTAGAAGATGCTGGAAGTGATCCAGTGCAGGCAAAAAATAAAATAAAAAAAAATCCATCAGAAATGTGTGAAGATATCCTTGTAAGTGGGGTAAAGTGAAACCTGGAAGAGTTTAAGACTAAAGATCCTACCGAGGGAAATGACAGCAGAACCGTGACCTTCTCCGATTACTGGCCTTGGAAGATACCAGCATAATAAGCCCAGATAAAACACCTTATAAGAATATTTGTACCAAGTATTTATTTCCTCCCCCCAGAAACACAAATTAATAAAAAAAGGGAAAAAAGCATATTTCTTTTCTGGACCTGGATAAAAGAATTATCATTTTTCATCAGGTAGTTTACAATCAGTGGGGAATAAACGAACAGTCCAGGTTCCCTGACTGATGCATTCAGGGTGTGCTCAGTAGCTGTCTTTATCAAACAACTTTATTTACAACTCAGCATCATCCTGCAGTAGATCTGCATCTTCATCATCCAACAAAAGGTCAGCATCCATGACTTCATTCTCTTCCATGACGCCACCTAACTCCTGAACAACATCGTCATCAATGTCACCGACATTTCCAACATGTTTAACCAAACTCATGTGATCCAGAGGGATCAAACTATGCCCAGCTGGCCCAGTAGTTCTCACAATAGTGGCTGCCATTTCTGCTGCCACTGCAGCTTTCTGAGCCTTCTGCCTTTGCTGTTCTTCTTTTTGTCTGTGTGTCTTCATATGAGCATTGCGGCTTTTGATTCTGAAAAATACTCTAAAATTTTAAAGGGGAAAAAAAAAAAAAGCAGATAAAAGTACATTGCTTTTGATGAAGGGAGCCAAAAAACACTCAACAACCTATCAGTACATTTGCCTCCCTGTCCTGAAATAGAAGTCTGCAATGCCATGGTGAGAATTTCAGGGACCGACTACCAGATTTGTACATCCTGTCAGCATCAAAATGGCCTACTCTGACTCTGCTGAAGCTATTTTGCAGTTCCTGCATTTGCTTCAGTATCTATGCACATCCTAATTCTGCCTGAGCTCAGTTTCACTACATTCTTCCACAAAAAGCAGAAAGCGGAGGAATCTCATGTTAGAATGGAAAAACTCAAGCAAGGAAATAAAGAAAGTTACCCACGCCCATGCCATGCAAGTCTGTAATGAAGCAGGAAACTGGAGTGTCACATGTAGGAACTCTAATAGAGAAGTAAATTCAGGAATATGACATGAAATGCTGCAGGGGAAGCATCCAGATTGTCATGCAAACCTCCACACTGTCATGCAAAACCTCTGAAGAATTTGGTAAGAGAACATGATGTTTTATGGGGAAACTGTTCTTTCGAGACCATGAGAGCAAAATAGTTTGTTGCAATACTATTCATTTGAAAAACAAATAGGCAGAGGCGGTGCAGTACTGCAGACAGTTATATTCACTTACTTGCCACATTCCTTACAAGGAAAAATTGTTGTTGGGTCGGTCTCGCCACTTGTTGTGCTGTGGGCAGGTGAACTCTTGATGGAGCAGTACCCGCTCTGTGTACCAGATTTCTGCTTAGTGCCTGCAATGGTGCATCGTGGCTTTGTCACCTGATTTGTACCTCCATGAATGCGAGCGTGGCCATTTAGTGCTTGTCGGGAACTGAACACCTGATGGACAGTAGAGTGGAGAGAATTAAAAATAAAAATCAAGACAGACTTCACTGCAACAGGAACTGCATGAAGAAGTATAATGAATGCATACAATAAAAAACATCTGTACGCGTCAGATATGCACACTAACAATTTTCCAGTTCAAATGTTGCTTGCTCTCAGCTATTCTCCATTAGAATTAAACTAACTTAGTTGTAATAAAAGAAAACCAATGAGCTATCTTACTCTTATAGTTATTTAATAAAAAGGTAATCAGGGCTGTCATTACACAGCACTTCTCATCCCTACATCATACAATTCTATGTACAGATCAGCATACTGTCTGTATTGAATAACAAGGGATTTCAAAGCAGACAAAATCATTTGTCCAAAGATATTCAGGAGGTATCACTGGCCAGGAATAGCCTAAACATCTGATTTCCAAAAATCACTATATGTTAAGATACGAAGCCCCCGCTATTATTTGAAGACATCAAACACACGTACAGCACCACAGTTTGGCATTTCACAGATGAAAGAGGATGAAGAAAGTGAAAGACTCTGAAGGGTAGGCAGGTCTATAGGTCCAACAAGAGGGATAGCTGGTGGGTCAGGAGACTTCTGCATTTCCCTTTCTTCCTTTCTGTCTTCTTC